AACTTCCTCTGTGGCCTTCATCTTGGGTTGCTACCTGAGAACAGCTGCCTCCCTCACATCTCCCTTATAGATCAATCTGCATTCCCCTGTGTGAATTCTGTGGCTACTCTATCTCACTCCAGCGTACTATTACCTACCCACCATATTCCCATCCTTTAATACCACATGTGGTATTTTCTGTCCATCCCCTTTATCAGAAAACATGATGGCAGCCGCTGGAAACTCTTTCTTTCTTTCCTCCCTCAGAACAGGAACTGAAACAAACCTGAGGATTTTACATCTATTATCCCGAGTGCCCAGCACTCCGTATAATATAGATTGTCTTGTGGGACCTTAGTATTTGGATATTAAATGGACTAGAACCCTAGATTGGTCCCAGCAATTTCTACTTTTCCCTTACTACTAACCCCACCCCACCGCAACCCTGAAATCATCAGTTTTCAAAAACAGAGTAAAGATACTGTGTCATCATGCAAATTAGCCTTGTGCTATGCGTAATCTCCAGGTAACTGAAGTCTCCTCCAGACTGGCTGCTTTTAGTAGCTGGTAGTTAGATAACACCTACTGGTAAGATTTTTAAGTCTGTGGTCAGAGGCAGCCACTGGCAGTGTGCTGGTCCCTTCATAGCTGGCTTCCTACTAGCTGAGTATCTCCAAGATTCCCACAAAGAAGGCAGCACTGTTGCTTTTTCTATATTGCAGCATGGTATACTGAGTTAAAGTGGAGCAGAGTACTAAATCTGCTGTATCCAAAAAGCATTTGTCATGTTTACAGGATGAGCTGTGCTTTAGACCCCTTCTCAAGTGCACCTCTCAGGTGACAGCGTAGCTTCCTCCTCCTCTCAGGGGTAGAACCCTGTGATCCAGCCCCTTTTGGACTGGATCTCTGGGCTGCAGCCCTCCCATTTTCCAACTGTGTAACCATGACAGGCCCAACTGTCTGTGGTACATGCCGGAGAACTTCTCTTTAGGAATCTATGACCAGTGGTTGATTTAATATGACTCAAAAAGTTTAAACAAACTTACTGTTTATTTCCCCAAAGGAACATTACAAGCTGAGAAAAGGGTTAAAACAACAAAGGCCTATGCACCAGGATCTTAGCTAAACCTTATCCTTTCTTGGCAAGTCTTTGGTAGGTTCCGCTCAGTCCAGGATCCCTACTTCTGGACTGGGAGAAATAGACTGGGCAGTTTTTATCGATCAGTGTCTCTGGCAGCCTCACCCCTACTCTTCTTTACTTCCTTCCCCTCTAGGCAGGGTTTTTAGCAGTTTAGAATCCCTTTGACCCAAAACTCTGGCTTTAGGAAAATAAATGTGTTGACCTGGCTGGAGCCAGGTAAGTAGGCATTTTCTTGGTTAATGTCCTCCATTGTTCTTGGGATTTTCTCTTAGAGGTATGTTGTTTCTCTTAGTTTTGTTTCCTGCTTGTTTTCCTTAATGGTTTCCTTTGATTTAACTCCATGCAGTCAGGGACAGCAATATCACAGGTGTCAACACATGATATTCATATGAATAATAGATGCCCATCTTATTCTCCACAGCATTAATCAAGCTCATTTGGGATTTTCTTTTAACAATGAATCTGAATCAATATGTATTATGCGATTGGTTCAGGTTGTTGCCATTATGCTCCTGCTGTTTTGCTAAGCAGCTTTTCTCGGCACTTGCAGCATCTTGGATTTCCAGTTGGCACTTCCCTCTTTGAATTCATTTTCCCAGCTGAACTGTGAATTATTCACTAGTCATTAAGAGTCAGTGAGGAGAGGTGCCCTTGTAAGCAAGCAGCACATGGAAAATATCAATGCACAGTGTCGTATTCACTGCTGGCTCTATCAGGACTAGCACACTGATTGCTAAACGAATCATTCTAGGGATGAATTCTGTGGGGCTGTCTTTTGCAGAAAACCTTCAAACAGAGAGGTCCTATCTTCTCTATATGGAAAACTACAGACTACATGTTCTGTTGGTCAAAGTGTTCCCTCCCTCCACTGTTATGCACTGTCCTGTGTCAGCTATTGAACTGTCTCTCCCATTGTTGTGTGCTGTGATAGTGAAGGTGATTGGAACAATTTACAAAGGATTGTGGTGGATTCTCCATCACTGGCAATTTTCAAATCAAGATTGGATGTTTTCCTAAAAGATATGCTGCAGTTCAAAGAGGAATTAATTCAGGGGAGTTCTATGGCCTGTGCATAGAATCATAGGGTTAGAAGGGACAGCAAGGGTCATCTTGTCTAACCCTCTCCCAAGATGCAGGATTTGTTGTGTCTAACCAATCCAAGGCAGATGGCTATCCAACCTCCTTTTGTAAACCTCCAGTGAAAGAGCTTCCACAACCACAGGAGATCAGACTAGATAATCACACTGGGCCCTTCTGACCTTGTAATTAATGATTTTTTTAAGGAAGGATTCTACAAAATCTGTGAAATGTAGCTCTGTTTTTATTAAAGTGATTGTGGACTTTGCAGTAATAAGCCACTAATGTAAGAGGCCAAATAGCCCTAGTGCTGTTGCAGCAGGAGGCATAGAGATGGCTGTTGTGATTCACCGGAGAGTAAGAAGCTACAGCATCATAGCTGTGCAGAGGATAGAAAGATGCTTACAGAAGCTATAATGTAACTTGTCAATGTCTTAAACGCTTTCAGTTTTCATTGCAAGCTTTTTCCAATTAAATACAAGCTTTGAAAAATAACCCATGCATTTCACTTTTGCCAGAATTATTTAAAAATAAGAACAGACTTCTGTGATGCCATACACCAATTTGTTTTTCTATGGCAGAATGTCAGGTTTCTGTTTTTTAAATCTGATCTGAAATACCACACCCTAAAAAGCAAAAGCCCACTCTGAAAATGAATGAGAGGCTGAAATTGGAGAAAGCTCACCACTCGTACATGTTAGTAATTTTATAGTGAGTAGGAATGGATGAGTAAGCTGGTTCAGATGGAATCAGAACCAACCCAAACATCCACCCTAATCTCCAGATGAGCACAGAGGAAAAGGTTCCACAAAGTTGGGCTAACTCTGTGAGGATATGGATGCTATATATGTTTTCTTGCATCTTTTGTACTTTCTAATTTCAGTTACAGCACCTCTATTGGGACCTTGCTGTGTGTGCATAGGGGGGTGTAATGAAGGAAGAGAGAATTTCTCATGTGACAGTTCTTGTTGTTTGTCTAAAACAGATTAAAGAAGCATAATTGTGATCATGAAATGAATATCCCCAAATGCCTGGCCAAAACTGATCTCTAACTCTCAACAGTTGTTCAGTGATTCAGGGTGAACAGTAGAGCCAACTCAAGTTGTTTTTGAGGTGAACATATTAAGCGTCTCATATGTTTTCCCAGAGATGAGCTGCCAGAAGCTGAAGAACCGGTTCCAGTCGCTCTGGGTCTTCGGTGGCACATCCTTCAGTCGCTCCGAGTCTTCAGTGGCACTGAAGGACCTGCCGCCGAAGGCCTGGAGCGAGTGAAGGACGTGCTGTCGAAGTGACGCTGAAGGCCCGCTGGGTGAGTAAAAATTCTCAGGGGAGCTTCCCCAGCCGAGAGCTCAGGTGGGATGAAAAGGACACAGTTTGCCCACCCCTTTAACAACCGGTTCTAAACCGGCTTCAAAATTTAACAACTGGTTCGTGCAAACCGGCTCCAGCTCACCACTGTGTATTCCCTACTAGCGTGCAGGAGGCACTGGGTGGGTGGCTGGGTGGGAGGGAGGGGGGAGGAGTTGATCAGCATGGCCTGCGGACCCCAGTTTGAGAAATGCTGTCATACTTTACAAATGTTTTGGTTCATGTTAATTTAATCGTGGTGAGGAGAACATCTGGAAAATGAATTCAATACAAAGATCTTCCACATCTCCCTGACCTGGAGGGACCATCCCATTAAAAATAAGAAACAAATGCATTCTCCATGGGGATTTCATCTTGACTTCCCCTACTGAGGATGCCAGCAAGGGTGCTAATTGCAAAGGTGTCTTTTGTGAACACTTGTCCACAAGGACTTGAACTCAGATGCCAAACTCATGGTATAAACATGAATAAAGAGCTGATGGTACTAACTTGTATTCAGCTGGTCTGGTTTTGAAGCAGTGGCCTAGAGAGTAAAGGCTTGTATGTGGTCTCTGATTGCTTCCTGACAGTGTGCTCTTGTCACTGATCTACCAAGAAATTCAGAAAAGACATTGAACAGGCTATAATGTGTGGAGGGGTTTTTTATTGTTTCAGCATGCATCTTGTACAGCAAACAGTAAGGAACTTTACATTTCAGTGAGAGTGGGGTTATTTTTTCCATTGGTGCTTGGTGGTCTTAAAACCTGCAGCTTAGTTCTGATTTTTTTTTTCTTTTGAAGCTGACACATCTGTTCACAGAACACATGATGAAAGGACCTGAGCTTAGGGTTGCCAGGCATCCAGTTTTCAACCAGAATGACTGGTCAAAAAGGGACCCTGGCTGCTCTGGTTAGCACCATTTACTGGGCCATTTAAAAGTCCAGTGCACAGCGGAGCGGGACTAAGGCAGGCTCCCTGCCTGCGCTGGCTCCACAGAGCTCCCCGGAAGTGGCTGGAAAGTCTGGTCCCTAGGTGCAGGGGTGGTCAGGGAAGTTCCGTGTGCTATCCCCACCCTGCAGCGCCACCTCCACAGCTCCCATTGGCAGGGAACCATGGCCAATGGGAGCTGTGGGGGCGGCGCCTGCAGGTGCGGGCAGCATGCACCACACAGAGCCACCTGGCTGCGCCTCCACCTAGGGGCCAGCCACTTCTGGGAGCAGTGCGGAGCCAGGGCAGGCAGGGAGCCTGCCTTACCCCTGCTGCATTGCAGACTGGGAGCCGCCTGAGGTAAGCACTGCCTAGCTGGAGCCCACACCCTGAACCCCCTGCCCTATTTCAGAACTCTCTCCTGCACCCTAACTCCCTCCCAGAGCATGCACCCCAGCCCTGAGCCCCCGCCCAGACCTCACACTCCAGCCCCCTGCCCCACATCAGAACCCCCCCCACACACACACTAACTCCCTTCCGCACCCCTATCCTAGCTCTGAGCCCCCTCCCAGAGCTCACATCCTGCATCCTCTCCTGCACTACAACCCTCTTCCCCAGCCCTGAGCACACTCCCAACCTCATCCATTGCTCCACCCCAGAGCAAACACCACCAGCTGGAGCCTACACCGCTCCAGCCCTGAGCCCCCTCCTGCACCCTGAACCCCTTATTTCTGCTCAGAGCCTGCATCCACAGCTGGAGCCATTACTCCCTCCCGCACTCCAACCACTGCCCCAGCCAATGTAAGTGAGGGTGGGAGAGAACGAGTGACAGAGGGAGGGGACTGGAGTGAGTGGGGGGTGGGGCCTCAGAGAAGGGGCAGAGGCGGAGCCTTGTGGAAGAAACGGGGCAAGGGTCTTCAGTTTTGTGCAATTAAAAAGTTGGCAACCCTACCTGTGCTATCCATGTCAAGAGTGCTAGTCAAACACAATACACATGGAGTACTTTGGATTCACATTGTATACCGCAGTGAATTGGAAACTGAATGGAGAGCAACGGTCATTTTCAGGGAACAGGCCATCAGTGTAGGCATCAGAGAAGTCCCATGGTAATATATGGTATCTAAACTCAGACAACATATCTCTTCTCTAGAACTCTGACCACTGAACCTGGTACATTTTAAGAATTACGAAGTACAGACTGAGAAGGCAGAGTGTGGGGGAAAAGGAACTTCAGCTTGTTTTGTTGTGGAACATTATATGTTTGTTTTGTATTGCCAAGCAGAAAGTACAGAAATATATTGACTGACTTTCACCATGATGATAATCAGAACTCCACCAGTCAACATAAGGGAAGGCCAGAGGAAAGCGAAGAAAAGGCCCTTTGGAGGATATAGCCTTATTAAAATGACACTTGTCTGTCTTTGTTCTGGGTCATAATAACAAGGGAAAGTCTGATGCTTTCGGAAATTTTCTGCGGCGCTTTCTATTAGCGTTTTAACTTCTTTGTCGTTCTTCAAGTTTTGTGGAATATAGGAGCACTAAAATGAGAAATCAAGATACTTGTTAGAGCAATTGTTCTACTGCAGGATGTGCAATGACGTGAGACCTTTCTTAAAACATCACTTTACTAGTTCAAACAAAAGGTTATGTGCACATCTGAGAGTATCTCTAAATATTGTCTTGCCATCCCCTACCTATCTGTTGTTGTCTCCTGTCGTACACTGAGCCCCCAATCCTGCAAAGGGTTACGCACACATGTAACTTGATGCATGTGAATAGCAATTTGGAGTTGGGATGGAATTTTCCCCCAAGGTCAGATTGGCAGGAACCTTTTTTTGCTTTATTCTGAAGCATGGGATGTGGGTTGCCTGGTAGGATCATCTGGACATATCTCACCTAATCAATTCTCTACCATTGCAGGGGCATCAGACATTGGGAACACCTTAGTCCCTCCTGTTCTCTGTCTATGGCACACAAATAGTTCAGTATCCTGATGACTGGAATGCTTTCATCTAACTAAAGACAGTGGGTTCAAACTGAGGGGTATCTGGGTGAACTTTAGTGGCCTGTGGAGGTCAGCCTAATGATCTGATCTAATGGTCTATTCTGGCCTCAAGCGCTATGAATCTATGAAAAAGTGTTGTGGGAGCCAACGGGACAGCTCCTGCTCTTGGAGTGAAGCCCGTGCATAATTTTTTACAAAGCTCAGGGTCTTAGATTTTAAACAGAGACAAGGGCTGTACTTTTTCTGTGAGTGGACAGCACCTAGCTCTGTGGCCCTTGATCCCTGACTGAGGCTTCTGGCACTGCCACAGGACCAATACATTAGTTGTACAGAAATTCCTAAATGGGCTTGGCTGGAAGGGAGCAGAGACAGTGGAACAAAGGTACGTCACTGCTGATAGGGCTTTCGCAGTCATGAGTTAGTCTACCACTGCTGCCATGGAGCATCTATCTTGGGGTGCTGGAGTAGGCTAAATTCCAATTATCCAAGAGTACCTGGCCAGTATGTGAGTTACTTCAGTGTGCGCCTCTCTCTATAATTAGTGAAAGACGATGACCTACTTTTTCACTGGGGGAGAAAGTATTTTAATTGGTTACACTATGAAACAATTTTGTAGCTTTCTAGTGCAAGAAATAGATAGTGATCAATGTTATTTTATTTGTATTAATGTAGTACCTATAGGCTCTAGCTGTGATTAGTACCTCATTATGATAGGTACTAAATCACACACACCCAGTAAAGGATAGTCCCTGTTCTGCAGAGCTTGCCGTCTAACTAGGTGAGACAGAAAAGAGCTGAGATGGGAAATGAAGTCAGGTGCATTTGCTTTCTCATTGTAATACAGGAGTCCAGTGGCAGAGCAGGTAACAGAGCCCCATTCTTCTGAGCGTCTATCCATGTTCCTATCCATTGGGCTCACACTGCCTCTCAGAGGAAAGGTGTTGCTGGATTCTTAATACAGCTGTCTGCCGAGAGCCATTCTTTGTCTCTGTAACTGCCTAACTTAATGGACAAAGGGAGAAAGCAGAGATCAGCTATCCAGTCATACCTTCCTCATGGACAAGCAGGGGGCTTTCAAATGTAATTGGGAGTCCATTTAAAGAGGTATAAAATCCATTCATTGCTCTTAGAAGACAGTTTGGCAAAAACTGTGCCAACAGACTTAATTTATCGAAGAAATTATACTTCTGTTCAGATTCACAATGTTTATTGCACCATTCATTAGCACCCATTAAAGTGGGTTGGCTAAAATAAAAGCCCTTTCCCCAAATCCCAGCTATGAGTTTGGAATGCTGACTGACATTAAATTACTGGAAATGCTATTTATTTCAGAGCATTAACCCACAAGCCATTTTGAGGTACTTGCAGTACGACTATTTTCCATTTCTGGCATCTTTTTTCACCTCTTGAGTAGATAGTGTTTGTGGATCAGTTTAGCCTGACCTGGAAGTAATTTTAAAATTTCAGCTGTCGAAATGCAGAAGCTTTATCCCAAAACCAATAACCTAAACAAATGTAATGTAAACAAAATGAGATTTTTTCCCAAGGCAACAGTGACTACGACCTGAAAGAAAACCCTCTATGTGCAAAAATAAAATTGGCCCCATAAAACAATAATATTTATCTCACTGCAAATGTATTCCTAGATGTTTCAGGACTGCCCTCTGATAGAGCAAGGCCTGAAGAGGAATTCCAAGTTCATGTAGACAGGCTGAAACTAACCCCGATGCAGAGATTCACCTTAAAGTCTATGTACCATTAAAGGTCCATGTAAGTCTCATAATAGGGCTTAACTGGGGTTTCTCTGGTGCATAAGGACTTGTTCTGGCCTCCTACAGAGGGATGAATATCACCCACTATGCTGAATATTGGACCCTAAGAGTCAACCACTGTCCTTGAACTTGCTCTCACAGACTGCCTTATGGAAAGGAGAGTATTCAGTGTACTGTCCCTAAATGTCTGAGATTCCCTATAGTTGGAGTTTCACAGGGGCAGAGAAATTTTTCCCCCAAAGCTAAAGGTTTTATATGTTTACTTAATTTTTAATCTTGAGATCTTAAATCCACCTCAAATCTGTGAAAACCATTTTAATTTAAAAGCTAAACTCACTACATTTTCAAAGAAGTGTTGACCAAGCCTCTACATTTAAACACATTTTTTTCTTCTTGCTATTACTTGTGTGCATAGCCCCTGTAATTTTGCCTGCAAGTAGCAATTCTGTACAATGAGATACTACATGTAGCTTTTCTACAGATCTTAGAATTGCCATATGTTTGAACTATAGAGGAATATAGACCTTGTATTTGCAAAGCTTGCAACAGCCTTTGAAGATTGACCCTCCGCATTTCCAAATGCTCCAAACTATCTGCATGTTTAAATCCCATCGTTCTTCATAATGTTTAATATATATTCTTCAGTCTTGAAGTGGACTTTGAAGTGATGATTGACCCAAGCTGCTAAAGTCAGATATGGAATTTTCTGAAGTCTTGTAAGGGTCAAGGGCACCTGGCATTTTGGTTTGGGTCCTTCTCTTATTTTGATGATGTACCAAGGAAAAAAAATCTCCCAAACTAATCCTTACTGTTTTTCTTATGTGCACTCTAGTAATTCTGTGCTTTTAGCATTCAAAACTCTTTCTACTCACAACACTCTAATCTATGTTTCTTAGTCAAAAGCAAGTACAGGACAGCATAATGGACTGAAGACATATCTACAGCAATCCTACACTTTCTCCCCACATCTCACTTTAAACCATTCTGCAATGTATGAAATGTCAGTCTTTCCATGAAACTGGCAGCTCATTCACATACCATACAACCAGACACAGGCATTCTCAAACGCACACATTTTTTGCTTCCTATCTTATTTTTTCCCTTTTTTCCCTTATTTATTCCCTCTTAAAGCTAGCTTGCTGAGTGAAACCATGAATTTTCACTTCACATGCAAGAAATATTTCAGTGAATGTTCAGGAACTCGCTGCAGGGTGATATTTTGCTGTTTCTAGGGTTGAAAATGTTTCCCTCCCCTTCACTGAAAAAGGTGTAATTCTGGAGGTTTGGTTCAACTTGCTATAAAGATGGGGACAAATTGTAGAATTCAGGCCTATATTCTGGTTTGGGTTGTGAACATCCTAAAGTTCAAGGGTGCTTGGATCTGAACATTTTGGTTTACACCCACCCCATGAGAGTTGAGAGCTTGTTTTTGTGAAAAAAAGTAGTCACTGAAATCTTCCCCGTGTTTAGGAACCACATTCAACCCACATCTTGTTGGATGTTCTGAAATGGTTGATTCACTTCCAGTGGCAGGCTGGGGGACCAGACCTTGCCATTTTAAAAACGCTACAAGACAGTTGATGCCAGACAGGCGCACAAGTGGAGGTATTAGAAATGACATGAGGACATGTTTGTTTCCAGACTGCCATCCCAGGTTAGACCTGCCAAGTTATTCAAGACTTTGGACACTCCCTGGAAGTGAAGCTGAATTCCCAGCTGTCAAGGTTCCCACAGCCCTTCCTGGAATGGAGCTCCACCATTATACACGGTGCAACCTCTGCCAAGGTTTTATTTCAGTAACACTCCCATCTATTCAAGGGTATTTCCAAGCTCAAGTTTCTGTTGCAACAGTGGGTAGAAACAGTTGCAGATTACACCAAGAACAAACCCAGTTGCTGGATTGGGTGCCCACATTCCCAGTTTATTGACTCCCACCTGAGGTGTACCAAACCCACTGGTGTTTCATGTTCCCAAACCTCCACCTTTTCCCCCTTCTACCTCCCACCTTATTTCCTGTATTCCCCAAATGGGAGTGAACTTTAGGGCTCTGTTTTTAATCAGGGCCACATTTAACCTCAACCTACCCCAGGGTTATTCAACAAACGCTTGGGCGAACCACACATGTTGATCTATTCCTCTGAATTGTGCTTCAGTGTGCAGAGATTTATGTATATTTTATGCTTATAAATGTTTAATAGTTATTTTTGGTTGATGTAATTGCTTCTCAAATATTACCTTAAATATGTCTGATATTGCATTTATAATACATGCCAAATTTGTCCTCACTCTGAATTTTTCAACATTTGCCTTGGTCTAAGCAGAAGCATTGGCATGAAGAAAGACTAACGAGTCTGTGCTCTATTTTCAGTTAATTCACTAGTGCTTTGCTTGGTTATAAAAATAACCTGCTGAACCACACGTGACAAATATGAACAGTGATTCTGATGAATACATTTAAATCCCAATACCTTGGGATTTCTTTCTTGTGTTTCTTCGGTATGATAGAGCATAACCTCTTGTCCTGAGAAGTTCAAATCAACCAACACCTCTAGACAAGGATACTGGAAAATGTTTTCATCGCCTTCACCATTGTTGAACGAACACTGGACTTTGTCCTTGATGTTGGTTTTGAGCAGTTTGCACGTAGTTTCTTTGGTCCAAACACTATAAAACAAATCATACTGCTTTTAAATGCTTTGTTGACAGCTTTTTCACAGCATGATTCTGTCCAAGCGCTGTTGACAACTTTTCCACCATAGTGGTGTTTCGTGTGTCATTAAGCCATCAGCAGTGTGGTGGGCTGGGGATGTGGATAGAGTGTGTATGCAAGGGCTCTGAGCCAAACCCAAACAGACAGATAGGGTGGGTTAGGATTAGAGGCAGTGCACAGAAGATATGGATTTTTACTCACCCATTAGCCATTCATTGGATGGATTTAGAGGCAGATTTTATCTCCCATGCTTGGATGTGTTGGAAGTTGGCACCCCCAAAAGAACAACAGAAAAACTAGGGTTTGTTTGTGTGAATTCTAATACTGGTTGGTAAATATTTTAAATGTGGATGCACGTGTTTTTTTTTTTTCTCTGCACTTGCAGAGACCTGAATGAAAATTTGACCTTGTATGTATATGTTCTGAAATACAGTTTAGCATATTAGAGCTTTAGATCAGGGGTGGGCAAACTTTTTGGCCTGAGGGCCACATTGGGGTATGGGAATTGTATGGCAGGCCAGGAATACTCACAAAATTTGGGGTAGGGGTGCAGGAGGGGGTGAAGGCTCTGTGGTGGGGCCAGAAATGAGGAGTTCAGGGTGTGGGAAAGAGCTCCGGACAAGGGCATGGAGTTGGGGTGTGTCGGGGGGGGGGGTGAGGGCTCCAGCTGGGGATGCTGGGGTTGGGGGTACAGGAGGGTGCTTTGGGCTGGGACCAAGGGGCTCAGAGAGCAGGAGGGGGATCAGGTATAGGGCAGGGGGTTGGGCAGGGGTGCAGGTTCTGGGTGGTGCTTACCTCAAACAGCTCCCGGAAGCAGCGGCATGTCTCCCACCCGGCTCCTATGCAGAGGCACGGCCAGGTGGCTCCACACTCTGCCCCATCCGCAGGTGCCACCCCTGCAGCTCCCATTGGCTGCGGTTCCTGGCCAATGGTCACTTGGGGGTGGGCAGCGTGTGGAGTCCCCTGGCTGCCCCTATGCGTAGGAGCTGGAAGGGGGACATGCTGCCGCTTCCGGGAGCCACGCAGAGCCACAGCATGTGCAGAGCAGGGCAAACCCTGGATCCTAATCCCAGGCAGGAGCTCAAGGACCAAATTAAAACATCTGAAGGACTGGATGTGAGTTTGCCTACCCCTGCTTTGGATGCTTCAGAAAAATAAAAAACCTTTTAACTAACGTTTGGTAACTCTCAAATCCTATATTTACTGCAGGTTTTCACTTCTTTGTCTTTATTAAGAGGGTCATTTGCATGATTGAATACATAGGATCTTTGCACGAGGCTTTCAGCAGCTTTTTTCCTAAGCATATCACTGAATGTTGTTAACAGCTGTGGCAAGCTAGGAACTTCATGGCTATAGCTATGCTCCACACCGTGGCCACTCAGATCTTCATGGTGACAGCAAGGATAAAACTTTATCAGCCTGATCCAGAAGCCCCAAGCCCCCTACCTTGGATGCTAAAACAGGATCCTAGCAACAGAGGACTTGTGTGTATGTGTATCCATGGATATAAATCTATTTACACAGAAAAATCTGTCCATAAAGAAAACAAAAATATGCACGCTTACTGGTATGATATCAAATTAGAAATTGAACTGTGGACCTCTAGACCCTACCAGGGACTGCAACCAACTTGTGTCCTTTGCAGACTGATTGGGCATTTTCCCATGGTATGTGGGGGTTGGGGGAGAAGAGAACCTGTAATTAGCTCTGATGAGTGGGTTACACTAGTTCATTACAAAATGCTTCCAGTGGTTAAAGAGTTAAAGTTTAGGACTGCACATTGGTGAGGCCTCATCTGGAGTACTGTGTCCAGTTTTGGGCCCCACACTACAAGAAGGATGTGGATAAATTGGAGAGAGTCCAGCGAAGGGCAACAAAAATTATTAGGGGTCTAGAACACATGACCTATGAGGAGAGGCTGAGGGAACTGGGATTGTTTAATCTGCAGAAGAGAAGAATGAGGGGGGATTTGATAGCTGCTTTCAACTACCTGAAAGGGGGTTCCAAAGAGGATGGCTCTAGACTGTTCTCAATGGTAGCAGATGACAGAACAAGGAGTAATGGTCTCAAGTTGCAGTGGGGGAGGTTTAGATTGGATATTAGGAAAAACTTTTTCACTAGGAGGGTGGTGAAACACTGGAATGCGTTACCTAGGGAGGTGGTAGAATCTCCTTCCTTAGAAGTTTTTAAGGTCAGGCTTGACAAAGCCCTGGCTGGGATGATTTAACTGGAAATTGGTCCTGCTTCAAGCAGGGGGTTGGACTAGATGACCTCTTGGGGTCCCTTCCAACCCTGATATTCTATGATTCTATGATTCTATGACTATGGACCTGGCTTATTTGCCAGAGGTCATACATTCTTGCTAGGGCTGGTTTGAATATATTCATCAAAACTTTTTTTTTAAAGGGAATATGGCTTTTAAACATAAACTATTGTTGTTGAAGATTTGCAGTGTTTTTTGCTAAACTGAAAAATGTTTTTCAAAACCGAAAGCCAAAATGCTCTCAGTGAAAACCTGAAAAATTCTGTGAGAAACATTGACCAAAATAAAAGTTTTTCCCTTTTTTCTGAAACTTTCACAGAAAATTAGAATGCATTTCTGGATCTGCTGTGATTCTAATCCTGAAAGGATGTCTTCCTGTGTCAGATGCTTCCCCATAACTCTATTAACTATTCATGATTAACAGCTTCCCTCCCCACTGCATGCTATCTAAAATCAGCTTGTAAGCTCTTTATGGCAGTATCCTTTGATTTGTTCTGTGAAGCACCTAAGGCACTTTTGGGCTCCACAAAAATAATAACCATGATAACAACAGAAAAACACAGGCTGATGGTTATAACAAAAGAATAACTGCAGTTACCTGTTCACGTAGGATGGCATAATTGTGATCCCAACAAAAAAGTACATCATCACTGAGCATGCAACCATTCCTAGTCCCAGGCACAGTGCCCTGGTCTCCCCTCGCTTCTGTGCAGTCACCAATTTTTTCCCCAACATGATTTAGTGTTATGGATTCTGAAATTTCTTGTTCTGGAGTGAAACATAAAAACAGGGGAAAATGCAACCAGAATCAGCATCAGATTTAGTATTAGATTTAATATAAACTCTTAAGAGGCTTTGATTCAAGATATTGCAAATCGTGAGGGGTTTAGGGGAATCTGATCCATTACAGCTCCTCACTCACATTAAAATTTAGAAGGCAGTCAAGTAAGTCCAGTAAAAGAAAATACTGACTCCAGTTTTTTTTATAAAAGGCTCTGGAGGTGATCCCGGCAATTACAAGCTACTAAGCCTAACTTCAGTACCAGGCAAATTGGTTGAGACTGGAGTAAAGTATAGAATTATCAGACACATAGATGAACACAGTTTGTTGGGGAAGAGTCAACATGGTTTTTGTACAGGGAAATCATGCCTCACAATCTACTAGAATGCTTTGGGTGCGGGTCAACAAGCATGTGGACAAGGATGATCCAGTGGATACGGTGTACTTAGATTTTGAGAAAGCCTTTGACAAGTTCCCTCACCAAAAGCTCTTATGCAAAGTAAGCTGTTCTGGGATAGGAGGGAAGGCTCTCTCATAGATCAGTAATTGGTTAAAAGACAGGAAACAAAGGGTAGGAATAAATTATCAGTTCTGAGAAAGGAGAGAGATAAATAGTGGTGTCTCCCAGGGGTCTCTATTGGGACTAGTGCTGTTCAACATATTCATAAATGATCTGAAAAAATGGGGAAACTGTGAGGTGGAAAAATTTGCAGATGATACAAAACTACTCAAGATAGCTAAGTCCTGGGCAGACTGCGAAGAGTTACAAAGGGATCTCACAAATCTGGGTGACTGGGCAACAAAATGGCAGATGAAATTCACTGTTGATAAATGCAAAGTAATGCACATTGGAAAACACAATCCCAACTATATATACAAAATGATATGATCTAAATTAGCTGTTGCCACTCAAGAAAGATCTTGGAGTCATTGTGGATAGTTCTCTGAAAACATCCACTCAATGTGCAGCGGCAGTCAAAAAAGCAAACAATGTTGGGAATTATTAAGAAAAGGATAGATAATAAGACAGGAAATATCATATTGCTTCTATATAAATCCATGGTATGCCCACATCTTGAATACTGCATGCAGATCTGGTCATCCCATCTCAAGAAAGATATATTGGAATTGGAAAAGGGACAGAAAATGGCAACAAAAATGTTTAGGGGTATGGAACAGCTTCCATATGAAGAGAGTAATGAGACTGGGACTGTTCAGCTTAGAAAAGAGATGACTAATGGGGGGGATATTATTGAGGTCTATAAAATCATGATGGGTGTGGAGAAAGCAAATAAGGAAGTGTTATTTACTCCCTCTCATATCACAAGAACTAGGGGTCAGCAAATGAAATTAATAAGCAGCAGGTTTAAAACAAACAAAATGAAGTATTTCTTCACACAACGCGCAGTCAACCTGTGGAACTCTTTGCCAGAGGGTGTTGTGAAGGCCAAGACTGTAACAGGGTTAAAAAAAGTGGATAAGTTCATTGAGGAGAGGTCCATCAATGGCTATTAGCCAGGATGGGCAGGAATGCAAAACAATGCTCTGAAGTGTCCCTGGTCTCAGTTTGCTGGAAGCTGGGAATGGAATTGGATGGATCACTTGATTACTTGTTCTGTTCATTCCCTCTGAAGTACCTGACATTGGCCACTGTCGGAAGACAGGTTATTTGGCTAGATGGACCATTGGTTTGACCCAGTATGGCCGTTCTTATGTATTATACTGTGTGAAATACCCAGTTTGGCAAATTCAGCGCTACACAGGGTCATGCACTATGTTCCCTCTAAGCTGTGCAGTTGGATGTCTGCCCAGGAGTGATTCAAGTGCCACACACTTGATTAGCAGAGCCGTGCACATCCAGCAGCATGTGTTCAGCTGCCCCTATCCCTGCTGCTTGGCAGCCATGTTGCTCCTGCCCTCTGCCTCGGAGCCCCTGCTGCTCCTGGAACCCTCCCGCTGGCTGTGCAGAGCGGTGGGAGGGTTATGCTGATGTCCGGGTGTCCCCCTCCCTCTGCCCCATACTCGGGTGAAAGTAAATTAGAGGTCTTACTGGTCCTGAGCAGGGGGAGTGGCCTCAACTGGAAGAGGCGTGGCCTTAACCTGGAAGAGGCAGGGCCTTAAATCCCCGGGCCCTTTAAATCTTGATTTAAAGGGCCTGGGGCTCCAGCTGTGGTAGTGGTGGCTGGGAGCCCGGGGCCTTTTAAATCACCCCCGAGCTACCAGCTGCAGAGGCGGCTGGGAGCCCTGGGGCTCGGGGACGATTTAATGGGCCCAGGGCTCCAGCTGCTGCTACTGCAGCAGAGCCCCGGACCTTTTAAATCAGTGAGGAGCCCTGGGGGCTCCTGGCTGCCACCGCTACCCTGGGGCTCGGGGCTCTGGCAGAGATTTAAATCCCTTTAAATCCCTTCTGGAGCCCCACCGCCACTACCCCAGGGCTCGGGCAGCAGGGCTCCAGCAGAGATTTAAAGGGCACCAGGATGGTAGTGGGGGCTGGAGCTCCAGGGACCTTTAAATCCCCGCCAGAGCCCCGCCACCACTACCCCAGGGCTTTAAATTGCAGTCTGCGAAAGCCGGTCCCGGTAAGGCACACTGGCTCTTACCGGTACGCTGTACCGGGGCATACCGGATTACTTTCACCTCTGCCTGTACTCCATCTCTGCAGAGCAGGGGAGAGGGGACAGGGCTCAGGACTCTGAGCAGGAGAGGGTCTGAGTGAGTACCTTAAAGAGACAGCGCAAGGTCTCTTAGAGACTTCCACCAGCAGCCAGCACACACAATCAATCTCTCTCTCTCTCTAACAGCACATGTTCTCTCAGAAACTTCCCCAGCTGGCAGCATACACACTGTTTCTGACTGTGTGTGTGTGTGTGTGAGACACACACACACACACACACATGTATTGTTGTTGTTATTACTTCTTGGTACTTCCTGCAATGCACATATGTTCTCTGTAATTTTATACTTTCAAAATGCTGTTATTTTAGGTTTTTGACTGGTCTATGCATTTTATAACTTTTATTTCTCTCTTACACTTAAAGTTAATTCTTTGAGAAGTGAGTTCTAAAATGCCTAACCTGTCCTGGAGTAATTATCCCTAGGGTAACTGGTGGCACACATCCTCACATTACCTCAGTGCACATAAAATTGATTCCGCACATGGATGGAAAAAAATAGAGGGAACATTGGTCATGGAGAGTGTGAATGGATATATATTCTAGGGTTGTAAGAACAATTGGCAATAAAATGTGAAACCTCAGGAACGGTGTTCACCTAAACCTGCTGTGGTTAGGATTGGACAGTGATTTAGACATTTCTACCTAGTCAGCACCAGCATTCAATTAATTGCTATTGCTGGTGGTAGTGTGACAGTGGGGAATGTTAAGAAAAATGCTAATCTAGGTAAAGTATTAGAGTTATTCTGTACAATGGACTGAATTTGGGGGTTTGGAGTGTTCTTATCCCCCTTTGTTAAATAGAAGTCTAAATGATAACCTCACTAATACTGATGATGATTTCTATGGAATTGCAGCAATTGAAATTAATGAGTTCTGAAAATTACTGCTATTCATCCATATTCTCTCTGCCAGTTTAGCATGATTGATGTTTAGCAAATAAGAATATATATATATACACACACACACACTCCCAGCTGTGAACTGCAGCCATACTGCTCTTTCTTGTGTGTGTGTGTGTGCGCGCGTGCGTGTGCGCACATATATATGTGTGGGTGTGTGTGCGTGTGTGTGTGTGTGTGTACACACTCCCAACTGTGAACTTCCAAATTATACTGGTGATGCCCATCAATGGCATACATATTTATAATCTATATGCATATGCGCCATTGATGGGCATCACCAGTATAATTTTTTTTAATGGAAATAGGGTGTAAACCACACTTGCAGAAATCATATTTTCAGCAGACTGATAAGATTTGTTGGGGGGAGAGACAGTAGAGAAGTGGGGTGGGGGAATAATCCAGCGGGCTGAATTAAACCCACCTAGCCCCAGTTCTTCAGTTTGTTGCACATGGATTATCCTTGAATCCATACCGCCTCATGTTGATGTCACAGAGTCTCTGTGGAGGCTCAAGGGTTTGCCTAGGTGGTGTCAACTGTGAGCTTAGAGCAAACATCTTCTAGTCAGAGTTTAAAAGAGGCAGCTACTTACCATGTTCATCAGTGATGGATGGGTATAAGAAGGGTTAAGGCTCAGTTTTGGCAAGCGGAGGGACCCTGATTCAGCAAAGCACTTAATCATATGTTTAAATCTATCCCATTCAACAAATCACGAAAGCACATGCTTAAGTGCTATTGAGGTTTAACATCAAGGTGAAGTCAATGCCTAAGGCTGACCAGGTGCTCATGCACTTGGCTGATTAGGAATGAACTGGTGAACAGGAATGCAAGAATTATTCCACAGTGAAGGGCTAAACCACAGAACTGTTTTGTTGTTTCTAGCATTTTGGCCACAATCCTTTGATGAGTTACCCTTAAATAGGTGCCTGCCTCCCACCCCCGCTCCCAGAATCCACCGGACTTCAAAATGTCACTGCAGGAAGCATTGTCTGGAGAAGAATAAAAACCAAGACAATTGCTGTGGTGAAAGGAACTTTAAAGATGCCATCTGCTTTTGAGAGGAGGAGCTGAAGAAGAATGTGATGATATTAATATGTGGCTTTCTATTTTAATTATCTTTCAGTCATTCAACCATGGCAGTATTGTCATTTGACTGGTTAATTTTGATAGTCAAATGACCAGATATTTGGACAGTTAAGACTTTGCTGCTGTTAGAAAAATAATTTTATAGCAGCCATTAGCATTAGCATGGTTACTAACAACAACTATATTCTCTCATGTGATTTCATTGATGCTGTTATGTTGATAGCACAGCACACCCTGAGGTTAGTGGAACTGCTGGGTGGGGGTTTAAGTGGGGGAGGGTTACAAATATTGAACAAAGAGATGATTGGTGTTCTAAGGTCTCTTTG